AAAATACTGAAAGGATAGGAGAAAGTTAAAAGGAGAAGTAGAGAGTAGACAAAGGAAATACTGAATAAATGTGTCAAAAATAGGTAAGGAGAAGAAAGAGGAAGTAAAAGTGAAATTGTCATGATAGAACTATCTAGAAAAGGAAAAAACAAAAAACATCAAGACCTGGTAAAGACAGAGTTTTTTTTTTTTTTTGAGACGGAGTTTCACTCTTTTCACCCAGGCTGGGGTGCAGTGGCACAATCTCGGCTCACTGCCACCTCTGCCTCCCAGGTTCAAGCAATTCTCCTTGCCTCAGCCTACCAAGTAGCTGGGATTACAGGCACCTGCCACCATGACCGTCTAATTTTTTTTTGTATTTTTAGTAGAGACGGGGTTTCACTATGTTGGCCAGGCTAGTCTCGAACTCCTGACCTAGTGATCCACCCGCCTTGGCCTCCCAAAGTGCTGGGATTACAGGTGAGCCACGGCACCCGGCCTATCCACGCTTATCTTTAAACCAGTGCTGCAAGAAGGCTCTCAGGCCAAGATTTACAGATGATAAACAAGGTCAAAAAAGGTAAGTATTGTGGTTATGTTTTAAGTGCCTATTTTTAAGAAATATATACAGAAGTATTTAGAAATAACTGACAGAATGTCAGTGGGGATGATAAATAGAAATAACTGGTAGAATTGCTTGAATTTGCTTTAAAATAATGCCAGTGGGCAACACGGATGAAGCACAACTGGCCATGTTGATAACTACCAAAGCTGGACGAAGGGAGAACGCTGTTCATTGTACTATTCTCTCTATGTTTAAGTTTGAAATTTTCCATTAAACAATTCCTGTAAGTTTTCTAAAAACCTTCAATTTGCTACATCTGTCCATGAGTCCCTAGGTTGCCTATCTGACCTCCTTCTCTGCTACCTGGACACCTCTACATCCCTCTACCCATACCCTCTTGTGGATCTTTATTCAAATGAAGACCTTACCCATCACCTTTGACAAAACCACATCTCTACAGGTAACTGCTCTCCCCAGGTACTGCCCTATAGCCTTCTCTACAGCATTCATTTTCTGACACCTTCCTCCTCATCAATTCATAACTAATGTTTACATGACATTTACTTTGCGCCTGGCACAGTTCCAAATTTTCTACACACACATCATTTCCCTATGCCTCTGTTAGGTCAGAATCTTTCAAGGTGCTTCAGATTATTACCAACCTAGCCCAACCCCCAACAAAAATGAACTCTCTTGGCTTCTACACAGCAACATCCAAAGGGCAGCTGGAGGATGGGGGTGGGGTGAAGACTATTAAAGCTATCTTGATTAAGAAACAGTCAACATATGAGCAAAACGCACAAGTCCAGGTGGCACTGTTTGGAAAAACAGAAAGCAAGAAAACTATCATCTGTAATTTCACAATACAATAGAAGATACATGGAGTGAATAATGAATTGTTTCTGCCATACTAAGACACACAGCCAGCCTACTTGAGGAGCTATTTTCAAATGACCAAGACCCAGGACGCCCAGGCTAAACTAATCTAGCCCTAATTCTACAAGCACAGGGGTGGAGAGAAGATCTTTAAATCTTGCGGACTCAAATATCTCTTCCGAATATTAATATTCACCCAGCATGCGGCAGACTGCCTATACCTTGGCAATGCTAGTGACATTGATATGTCTACCTTCCTGAGCCCAGATCACCATAAAACCAAGCCTAAACTAAGAGTCAGCAAGCAAAAAACCCCCAGATTTTTATATGTCATGGGACTAACAAAATGATTTAACAATTGAGCCATATTTTTAAAAACACCTGCAAAATATGCATATAGATAAGTGGAAGTCTCTTCACTTAACAAAGTGGCCATGCCAAAAACTAAGAATCATTTCCAAGTAAATACAGAGAGAATAGGGAAGTGCCCTACGTATATTTTTGGAATTCAGTTCTTTTCTGATCAACGGTAGCTTGTTGGAATAAAAGAAGGTAAAAGAGTATAAGAAGAATACAATTCTTTATAAGAATAATACAATACCTTTGAATACAATTCTTCTTATACTTACTCTATGATTGTACTTACTCTACAATTTTCTTTTTTTTTTTTTTTGAGACAGAGTCTTGCTCTGTTGCCCAGGCTGGAGTGCAGTGGCGCGATCTCCACTCACTGCAAGCTCCGCCTCCCGGGTTCACACCATTCTCCTGCCTCAGCCTCCCGAGTAGCTGGGACTACAGGTGCCCGCCACCATGCCCGGCTAATTTTTGTATTTTTAGTAGAGACGGGGCTTCACCGTGTTAGCCAGGATGGTCTCAATCTCCTGCCCTCGTGATCCACCCGTCTCGGCCTCCCAAAGTGCTGGGATTACAGGCGTGAGCCACTGCACCTGGCCTACAATTTTCATCATCTAAAATCAACCAGTGAACAGCACCTGTCGACTGTGGGTGCTTTTTCAACGTTACCTGTTAAAAAAAAACTTTGAGGTCTAATTTACATTTACTTATTTTAATAAATATAAAGCTAAGGATCATTGGAATGAATGCATTTTTAAACAATATTTTTTCAACATAATTGTTGGAAAAATCGCATTAAGTGTATAGTTTATTTTAACTTCTATTCATTTTCCAGCCTACTGATGACAAAAAGGCTTGAATCTGAAACTCTTCTTTTTACATTCTGAGTATTTTACTTTCACAGAGCATATTTTATGCTCACTAGAAACAAAGGATTCATTCAATGTAGAATTATTATCACCATGTTATGGGTCAGAAAAGGAAGTAAAGTGATGACCACATAGCCACTCAGCAGCATGCTCAGTCCAAACTCTGGAACCTTGTCCAGAGCCCCTAGTTTCACCATCCATGTCGCCTCCGTGTGTGGGATAAAACACAATGCAAAAGTTAAAATACTCGCACACACAGGACCCAATTCAATATAATTTTTATGCCAATCTGAGAAAAATGACTTATTAGCTGTGTGATTTTGAGCAATGCTCTTAACCTCCCCATGAAGGATAGTGTGACAATGAACAGAATTGTAGTACGTGTATCAGTCTGGTACACAATGTCCTATGAAGGTTAGCTTTATTATCACCATCATTATTATTGCAGAAAGACTTTCAGTTCAGAATAAGACAGCACAGTTAAAGAGACCTAGTTTTATTTTCCAGCTTCTTAACTGTGTCATCTTTCAGCTCCTTTTAATTAAAAAGAAAAAACAATCAGAGATCTAATTGGGTATCAGGAAGACACACAATATGACTAACAGGCACTAATATTACTACACTTATAGTCTCTGGAAGGCTGGACATACTTATCCAAGAACTGCCTAAATTGTTACAATAACACACCATGCTAAATCTTCCATGTTAGAAATTCCGTATTTCTCTCCATACTAGAAATAATCGTTCCATATTAGAAATATGAATGTAGATTTGGTAACAAGGGAAACTATTCAAATTTTCCAGTGCTATTATGTGTGCCTTCAGATGGGTGGGGGGAAAATATGTCAGCAAGCAATGTATCCTTTCTTTAGTTTTTCACTTATAATCCTCTAAAATCATGCAAAAACAAACAAACAAACAAACAAAAAAACAAAACCAACAAACGTTTACTCTTGGATGTTTAACCTTGGCTCTGACAGAATGTTCCCTGTATCAAAAAACAAGAACTCAGCCAACAATGTTTTAGGAGTTAAACGGTTGCATGAAGACTATGTCCAGTCAAATCTAACCACCCACCCCTCTCCGAGGCTACTACCCTCAGTTTTCATCAAAGCTCCTACCATCTCCCATTTTGTACAGGCCCTAAAGAAGTTAATGAAAAAGGCAAAGTTCCTGTGCTGTGCTGTCACTCAGTAATGAGCAGTTTCATGTGGCAGTGCAGAAACTGGGGTTTGAGAAACAGATGTGTCCTGACACTCTGGACTGGTAATCATGAAAACCCCAGTACTGCCATAAACATGCTGTCTTAACTCGGCTCCAAACAAGGTTCTGTCGGCGGCCGGCAGCGTTTGAGCTGGCAGCAAATGTGGGGATACCTTCATAGGATACTTTATAGGCTTCAAAACACCTCCCTCCCTTCAGGCCATTAACCTTCTAAACCACACAGTGGGGTACGGCTGGAGTATTCTCCCCGCCAAGGCAAAGGAACTGATGTTCAAGGAGGTTGCCAAGATCTCCCCGCTACTTTGGCTTTAAGAAACTGGGTCTAAGAAACTCAAGCTTACGGATTCTGTCCTCTGCGCGCTCCCACATCTTCAATTCAAAGATCCTTCCAAATTTCATAGAAATAACCTAGTAAGGGCAGCTCTTGAGTATACCTTTTCCTTTGAGTCTTAATTTTCACTCAAGGCGAAGTAACCCCTCCTCTGAAAGTTCTCCACGTTCTCCAAGCGGACAGCATCTAGTTCGCAGGGGATCCATATCAGTCTCAGCAGGTGGACTTCACAAGGGGCGGGTTGGGGGAACGCCCGCCTGACAGTGTCCTGCGGGGCGGGGCGGGGGGGCGAGAGGCGGGGAGTTGCTACGTAGGGCGCTCGGACCAAATAACACGCCGCGATTTCACACTCCAGCCTAGCTCAGTTATGTAGCAAAATGTTTTTCTGTCACCAGATAGCCACGACTTTGGCTGTGTTGACGACAAGAACAGAGAAAAGCCACATCCTGGAACACTGCGCCTGGGAGGACGCAGGACGCAGGCTTTGTAGTCACCGAGAATCGCCCTGCGTAAAAGTGCCCTGAGGTCCCGCTTCTGCGCCCTTCCCGGCCCAAGCCGAACACAGGCTCAACCTCACTCTACAAAGTCAACAGGATTGAAATCCGCCACCCCGCGAGGAGCCCTTTCCCACTGTCTCCAAGGGGTCCCCCACACTAAGATACCTGGGTGTCCCTGCTGAGCACAAACCTCCCCGGCGCCCCTTGCACCATCCCAGCTCTCCCGCTGCCCTCCCTTCCCTTTCTCTAACCACCCTCTCCGTCCCACGCCGCTGCACTCTCGTCCCCGGCCCCGCCCGCCTCACCCAGCCAAACCCGGGCGGTGGAACGCTGCGCCGGTGGAACGTTGCGCTGGGTAAACGCTGCGCGTCAGGTCCTTCCTCGCGCGGCTCGGGGCAGCGTTCCGTGGCCACCGCGCTCCCCATAGCAGCAGAAAGGGGAGGGAGGAGAGCTACCGAGGAGAGGACAGAGACGCCCACGCCGCCACGCTCCCCGCCCCACCACCTACACGGGGGCCACCGTAGCTCTCTAGAAGCTCCTCAGGGAAGCAAACAGCGGTTCCCGCTGCAGCACTGAGACGCCGCTGAGATGGAAGGAGCTCTGGCCATGCGCGCTCCTACACCGGTGCCGCGGCGCTCTGGCCCAGCATCGCGCACCCATGCGCCCCTCTGCTGGTCCTCCTAGAAATCCCGCCCTACCCTACCCACGGGGCCAGACGCAACGACGCTTTCAGGGGTCAAAGACCTGGCAGAAATGAGTTCCCAACCCCAGATGCCCCAAGCAGCTGTATTTTTAGCAGTCATACAATTGCCTGAAATGAAGATTGAGTAATCTGGATGAGTCGGCCCTGAAATCGAACTGCAGCTTACCCAGAACGTGAGCTGCCTCGCTCTGACCTCTGCTTCACCTGGAGTCGGAGTCCGACTCATTTAGCACTTCACTGTCCGTGTTAGTTCAGCCTTCACTGTCAGCAACTCGTCACCTTGTCTTCTTGCAGCGAAGGTTTGGAATCCCATCACGGGTGTGCAGCGGTTAGTCCTGAGATCATGGTGGTGCTAGGAGAACCTGCCAACCAATACAGAAAGTTGTCACGAACAGAAACCTAAGCTCTGGCCGGGTGCGGTGGTTCACGCCTGTGATCCCAGCACCTACTTTGGGAGGCCGAGGCGGACGGATCACTTGAGGTTAGGAGTTCGAGACCAGCCTGGCCAACATGGTGAACACCTGTCTCTACTAAAAGTATAAAAATTAGCCGGGCGTGGTGGCGGGCGCCTGTTATGCCGGCTACTGGGGAGGCTGAAGCAGGAGCAAACCGGGAGGCGGAGATTGCAGTAAGCCGAGATGGCGCCATTGCAGTCCAGCCTGGGCGACAGAACAAGACTCTGTCTAAAAAAAGAAAAGAAAAAGAAAAAAGAAAGAAAGGAGAAGAAGGGAGGAGGGAGGGAGGGAAGGAGAGAGGAAGGCAGGCAGGCAGGCAGGAAGGAACCCAAGGGAGGGAGGGAGGAAGGAAGGCAGGAAGGAAAGGAAGGAAGGAAGGAAGGAACCTAAGCCCAGGAAGGAAGAAAGGAAGAAGGAACCTAAGTCCTGGAAGGAAGGAAGGAAGGAAGGAAGGGAGGAAGGGAGGAAGGGAGGGAGGGAGGGAGGGAGGGAGGGAGCTAAGCCCCTCTCTCGCCGTACCCTAACTTCTCCCAGGGAAGGACCTCTGAACTGCCTGCGCTGGTAATGACACGTAGGTGAACCGTTTCTGGCCTTCTGGTCCTGGCTTTCTTAGAAGATTCCCTGCTGCATAAAACCAAATCCCGTTGCACTTTCCTGGGTTCCTTGACTTTGTCCTTTGTCATTTCCAGGATGGAGCAAAGGCACTGGTAATTTGGGTTTTACTTGCCTGGTACCTCTGGCATGGAGTGGCTAAACGGTGGCACCATGTACTAGTTGCTGCCATCTTCAGATAAAACCTTGAATCAATATGACAAAAGTCAGATGAATACTAGCTGCCAATCACCCTGCTTCCCTTAGGGGCAGCCTGTTTGGAGCCTAGACCAGCTTCAACCTGCAAGAACTCTGGATATTTAGAACATTTAAAATTCCAAATACAGTGTCCTAGGAATTCAGGTCAGGTGAAGGCCGATTGGGAAGGGCTTACCTTAAATGAATCAGAAAGAAAAAGTTGTGGGTGTATGCTAACATTTTTTGAGTATCGGCTATGTGCCAGGTGCTTTGTCTTATTATTTTAAGGAAGTCTGTGAACATCCCTGAGAATAACAAATCATTGTTCCCATCTCACAAGGGGGAATCTATGACTTAGAGAGGTTTAAGTAACTTGCCCAAGGTCACAGAGCTAGTAGGTAGCACAGTTAGGCTTTGAAGTCAGGTGTATCTAACACCAAACCCTATGTCCAATTTCTACTGTACCAGCAGCAAGATGGAAGAAAAATGAAATAAAGGGACCAGGCAAGAGCCAGTTTCAGGAACATTTAAAGGGAAAGAGGAGTAAGGAGGAACTCAGAGAAAGAATCTTGAAACAAGAGGAAATGTCATGCCAGGTAAATCAGTGAGTCAAAAACTAAAAACAGCTGTACTAGTTGGCAGATTGGACATAGTCCAAGGCAAGAAAATCATTCTTGTAGGGAGATTAGGATATTTTGGACCAAGATTGTGGGCTTTAGTCATCCTGTCTGAAGCCACTCTGAAATCACCTTTATCAAAACTGCCATAAGGCAGGCCTAGGCACTATCACATGGACATCCTACTAAATCTGAGTATAGACGCTCGACATCTCATCACAGACGCAGGAGGTTCACATTCTGAAAGAGCATCTCTAGGACTAAGGAGGAACATTCGAGGACAGGGTTTTCAAGTTAGGAATGCTCACTGGAAATCTGCTCTGTCCCCTCCGGGATCTGACAGTAGAATTTCCCAAGCACTAAATGCTGAGGTGTGGGCTTTCCAAGAATTTCGTGAATCGTTAATTCTGAGAATGTCACTGATCATTACAGATGGATCACCATGCAGGAAAAGGAGAGGCTGGTTTGGTTTTTTTTTCATGGGGAAGGTGAACTTCCAGATCACAGTGCCCTCCAGGACACAGGGCTTGAAAGTCATGAGTGTCAGGGACAACTCACCGTGTTAGCTAGCCCAGCCGGGCTCATGCCCAGCACCCCTTGATCACACACAAAGCTCCATTGTGGCCAGGACAGCCTCATAAAAGACCGAAAGCCTAGCAGCTGCTGGCCAAAACTCAGCCAGGCTTCACAAGAAGTGATTTGTGCTGTGAGCAGAGCTTTGACCCTGGTTTTGAACTCAACTGACAGCAAAGGGGAAATCAGTCCCTGTACAAAACAGGAAGGAAATGAGATGAAATGAACTGCATTGTAAGCTACCAGAGGGTGCCTAATGGCATCCTCACCACACAGTAGTCCCAGGAAGAAAGACTGATGATTTCGCATGGGAGAGAATCCCAGACGCACCAGGGAAGGAAAGAACCGAGAGAATCTGCATTTGGCTTGGCTGTTTCTCTTCCTCCTTGCCTGTCTGACTTAAACAGTCACTGTCTGCAAAAGGACACATCTGTATGAATCCACTTACATGAGGAACCTAGAATAGACAAATTCATAGAGACAGAAAGTAGAACAGAAGTTGGCCGGGCCTGGCAGGATGGGGAATCCGGAGTTACTGCTTAATGGACACAGAGTTTCTGTTTGGATGATGAAAAAGTTCTGGAGAGAGATTGTAGTGATAGTTGCACAATGCTGTAAATGTACTTAATGCCACTGAATTGTACACTGAAAAACGGTTATGATAATACATTTTGTTATATTTTACCACATATGTGTATGGCATATGTATATTTGTATATATTATATATTTTACATATACATTTATGTAAAATTACACATACATATATATGTCTATGTAAAATATGTATATGTAATTTATGTATACATATATATGTAAAAAATATAAATGTATTATCATGATGTAATACTTCTTTGGAGTAAAAGCCCAGGTGAAAGCAATCAGCTGACATGGCCCCTACACATGGAAATTCTTTGCTTGAATTTTTGTTTGTTTGTTTGTTTCTCTTTTTAATTTTTATTTATTTATTTTTGAGATGGAGTCTCACTCTGTCACCCAGGCTGGAGTGCAGTGATGCCATGATCTTGGCTCGATGCAACCTCCACCTCCCAGGTTCAAGTAATTCTTGTGCCTCAGCCTCCCAAGTAGCTAGGATTACAGGCAGTCACCACCACACTCAGCTAATTTTTGTATTTGTGGTAGAGATGGGGTTTCACCGTGTTGGCCAGGCTGGTCTCAAACTCCTGACCACAGGTGATCTGCCTGCCTTGGCCTCCCAAAGTGCTGGGATTACAGGTGTGAGCCACCGCACCCAGCCTTTTTGCTTTTAATTTTTTTTTTTGAGACAGGGTCTTGCTGTGTTGCCCAGCCTGAGTGCAGTGGCATGATCATGACTCACTGCAGCCTTGACCTCCCAGGCTCAGGTGATCCTCCCACCCCAGCCTCCCTAATAATTTGGACTACAGGCAAACAGCACCACACCCAGCCAAATTTTTTAAGTTATTTGTAGAGATGAGGGTTTCCCTATGTTTCTCAGGCTGGTCTCGAACTCCTGGGCTCAAACGATCCTCCCGCCTTGGCCTCCCAGAGTGCTGGGATTACAGGCATGAACCACCACACCTGGCTCTGTGAATGTTAATAAATCTTTGCCAGGCGTGGTGGCTCATGCCTGTAATCCAAGCACTTTGGGAGGTGGAGGTGGGTGGATCTCTTGAGGTCAGGAGTTCCAGACCAGCCTGGCCAACGTGGAGAAACTCCGTCTCTACTAAAATACAAAAATTAGCTGGGCATGATGGCAGTTGCCTGTAATCCCAGCTACTTGGGAGGCTAAGGCAGGAGAATCGTTGAACCCAGGAGGCAGAGGTTGCATTGAGCCAGGACAGCGCCACTACACTCCAGCCTGAGCTGTTAACAGAGCAAGACTCTGTCTCAAAATAATCAAATAAATAAATAAACCTTAATTTATTTTTCTTTCCATTTAGGGGTGCCAGGGCCCAGCTTTTGGGTTGTTGCAGCTCCTTATTCAGAAGGAAGAGTAGTTATGTCGTTTTACTCTCTGCTCCAGCTGGTGTTAAGTGGCTGGGGGTTTGTGGTGGCATATTCAGAGATGTGGCCCTAAAAGGGACTCTTTACCTTTGAAGATTAAACTCTGATTTTTTTTTCTTGCCCAAATTCCTATCTAAGGGGTTTGGGGAGTCATGCCCTACAAATCATAAATTCTCATTAGATGGGTTTTATTTAACCCTGTATGTCGTGACTTACTTTTCAATCTGACTCTGGCCTAACATCACAAGATAAGGAAGAAATTCAAAATATTTTACCCCAAAACATGTTTCTTTGCCATATTTTGAAATGGCCCCACAAAGCTGTTCTTTGTAGGGGAAAATTTACATCTGTAAAGAATCTATTAAAATAGCTAGATCTTTTTCTTCCAGACACTCCCAATCCTAAAGAGATTAACTAAGATCTGAATAGGAAACATTTGTCATCTATTGTCTCTAAGGGCAGACGCTATAAGACTTCAAAACAACTTTGGTCACCACAATTTTTATCTTAACCTGAACAATCCCTTTCTATGAATCCCAGGTTTTTAGACAAACTCAACCAATTGTCAACCAGAAAATGTTTCCATTCACCTATAACCTGGAAGCCCCACCACCGCCGGCTTTTCATTGTCCCACCTTTCTGGACCAAACCAACTATTTCTTCAATGTATTTGATGGATGTCTCATGCCTCTCTAAAATGTATAAAACCAAGCTGGGCCCTGACCGCCTTGGACACATGTTCTCAGGACCTCCTGAGGGCTGTGTCACAGGCCATGGTCACTCATATTTGACTCAGAATAAATCTCTTCAAATATTTTATAGAGTTTGACTCTTCTCGTCCACACCTTCAATATTAAATCTGTGCACTACTTACAAAGAGAGGGAGAAGGAGAGGGAGGGAATGAGAGAGAGTGAGAGATAGAAATTGAAGAAATTAAAAGGATTGTAGACCCAAGTGACTATTTGCTTCCAGCAGCCAAGATGACCAGATGGGACCATCCCATAGCTTCAGGCTGACCATTATCCCCATGGTAGGCCTGTTCCTGGAAATGACTGGATGAGGGGATGTGCTCTCAGTCTGACAGATAACAAGAAGTAACCTTTGACTTTTAGTCCTTCCTCCTGTATCTTCAGTACACAGTTGCCACTTTTCCTCTTTGAAGATGCTCTTAGCTGGACTAGTAGAACCAGAAGCTGCACCTGTCTTGTGGTCTACTTTTATGACTAAAAATGTGTATAGATAAAATCCGTGGTTCCACATGAGTGCA